TGAGCTCAAACCCAGGAATCGGGTATGCGTGGTACCCGAGTGCTGGCTCGTGAAAAATTTTTTCAAGTAAATTGCTAACTCAGGAGCCGGGAAAGCTAAAAAGCTGAAATTTTAAAGGGGTGTTTCCTGCCAGTTTTGGCGATCAATCTTAATTTGTTCAACTAGAAGGATCGGTCGAAAAAACCGATGCCGGTAGCTACAAAAATTGCGGGGAACTATACAAAAACGCACCATCGCACGGACAGCTCGTGCGTTGGCCAATTATTGAGTATGTGCTGAGCATCACACTCCCGGTAACTTTGCCACTTTTAGACCACGATGAGGTACCTCACCGACTAACCGATATCTTTTTGTAATTCTGTGATAAGTGCTCCATTTATCTATGGCTTACTACAATTCATCTTCTGTTCGGTGACCACTTTTTGTGTGGCTCTCCCACACTATATTCTGGATTTATAGGGCACGCTTACTAAATGCACAAGAAGAATGGGAGAAGCTTTTCACGCAACTCGCCGAAAATCTGTTTTGGACTGAAGCACAAAGTAAAGCATTACTCGATGAACAGCCAGTTGGTGGTTCACTAGCTCGTGTCCAAGAACAAAGTGATTTCATCCAGGTTCCTTTTATACTGTTTTTTTTTTTATAATACCAAGGTCACCCGAATAGTCGACATTAGTTTCCTGTACTAGTGGTTTTGCCTGGATGCCTCCGCATGTGAGGCACAGCTATGGTAGGTCTTTCAGCCCTGAACCACATGCTTCCAGTTGGTATTCACCGTCTCTTTGATGTATTTGCGTTAGCTTTTCGGTTATCGCTCAAACGACTTCAGAGGTCAATAATCTGCTGTATCATTCGTTTGTCAGCAAAGCTAGCAGCATGTGCTGCCGGTCAGATTTCACTTCTCACGCGGATACGCGCCATTTGCTTGACAGAGTTTTTTGGTGGCTTATAAGAGAAAAACAAATATCAAGATCGCTCGCTAGTAGTTGATCACCAGACTATGCAGAATCGGCCAAAGCATTGAAAAAGTTGCCGACAATGAATTATTTGCTGTTTTAAGTATGACCAACGGAATTTAGAATAGCCATGTCAACATTATCGCTAACATCGCATTCTCCAAACTGCAAGATTGGGTGATTTTGGTATCTCGGTACATTGAAATTTTAAATACGGCACAGTGGAAAACAGCGATTTTGTTATGCAGACCTTCTGATCGAAAGTTTAATTTTGCTCGCTGGGACAGCCAATCCCTCTACGGTTCGTTCACTCGTTTTGATGGCAAATTGGCATGGACATGTGCGAGGGAGTTTATTTGTAGGTAACCCTCAAAAGAGAGTCATGAGTAGCTTTGCCACTGTTTGTTGCCTGCTGGCGTTTAATACCCACTTGAGCCACTTTCCAAGTGTATTCGCTTATCGTAAAGAGCGAGTGCAGTGAGGATTCTTAATTTGTCATATAACTGATGTTTTCTTAAAATTAGCATACTTTTCCAATTGTT